GGGGAGGGCGAGGCCGGAGTTCAGGCGTCAAGAAAGTGAGAGAAACTCTGGCTCCTCACTTTTGGTGACGCCAAACTCCCCGATTTGTCCCCACTTTCTGGACTTAGGAGGCTCTCCAACCTCTCCCAGCCCTCAAGCTCTCCAAGCAATGACCTCATTGTAAAAGACAGTCTGAGCGGTGGCTCCCCTCCCTAGTGGACGGGCGCGGGGAGCGGGAGCAATGACGCCATCGGAGCCGGATGGGCCCTGGCCACTTTGGATTGGCCGCGCCGGCTGGTGGGGAACCCCCTCCCACTATCACTGAAATAAGAGCCAAGAGCTCCCCTAGGAAGACGCCCACAGCAGGCGTTGTGTCCATCCGGGGGGACCGGCTGCTTGCACTCTCCTGCAACGCAAGTCTCCAGGTGAGGAACTTCCCACTCACTCTAATAACCTGCTTCTGGATCAGTTCACCCACTTTGCTAATCTGCCTGCCTGCCTGCCTTTCCTTTGCCTCTCACGACCATCTCGGCCCACCTCCAGCCAGATGCTCCCAGCTCTCCGTCCCTCTCGGGAGAAGGCGGGCGGTTGGGGCCGCCAGTGCGTTTTCCTCTAATTACCACCAGTGGTACCCCAAGCATCCCCAGGGCTTCGTCCCGGCGCTGGAGGCTCGGCGAGTCCGAAGAGGCGGGTCTGCGGCCCCGCGCTGGTGCCTGTCGGGCGTGCAGGAGCCTGCCGGAGTTTGGTCTGGGAGCGCACTGCCCGATCTGTGTCCTCAGTGACCACTTTGGTTCCCGGGACTTGGAGCCCTGAGCCTTCCTCTGAGGCGCCTCCGGCCCGCGAGGGTCCCTGGGGCATTGGCAGGGACCTGAGGCAGTGCGGTTATCCCACCAGAGCCTTGGGCTCAACTCGGAGCGCTGGCGCCCAGGATCCGCTGCTAAACTGCCCTGCAGCAAAGCCCTGAGACACCTGTAACTGGCAGGTTAAAAAATTTTCCCCAAACCCAAACCCACAGCACTCTTTTCCCATTTGCCCTTCTGGTTTTCCTCTTCCCGGAGTTAGTGGGAAGTTCAGGCGAGGGGAAGGTGCTCCTAGATTTCTCAGTCCCTGAGAGGACAGGAGATGACGTCTACAGCAGCGTGCGTCTGCACCTGGTTTCTGCAGAGGGCAAAAGGTGTGGGTTTGTGTGCAGCCCGCGTCTGTGGCTTCTCTCTGGCTCCCCACAGAACAGAGCCAGAGTTCTCCCACCCTCACCCCAGGACACTGGTTTCTGCTCCACCAAGCCATTCACTAGGAAATTCACAGCAGCCCATCTGGCAAATGAACAGGGCCCAAGGCTTGAAGAGGTGGGGGTAACCTGCCTGAGGACAAAAGGCAGCTCTGGCAGAGGCAGGGCTGGAGCCTAGGTCTGCAGTCGCCAGGCCGGGCTGGCTCTGGTGCAGCGGTAATGTTTTTCTCCTTTACAGAGGCATCATGGGCTTCGGGAAGTCCTCCCCCTTCTTGGCTTTCAGCATCTTGGTCCTGTGCCAGGCAGGCGGCCTCCAGGCAGCACGGCTCAGGTGAGAGGGCCTGAAGCTACTAGCCTCTGCCCCTGGATCAGGCAATTCTGTGCCTCTGAAGTCACAACAGCCAGGCTCCCAGTGAATCAACACCCTCAGCTGGACATTGGCCTCAAACCCTGTGGGCTAGGAGTGGGGACAGAAGGGCACATTTTCAGGGCAAGTCACAGTGAGCAGGAAGCCTGGCTGCTTATCCTGGGGAGAGGCCAGACAGGGACTCAGAGCCTGTACTGGGTTTTCTTCCCCTCCCCAGATCAGCTTTGGAGAGCCTCCCAGACACCGACTCTGCTGCACTCAGTGAGAAGGAAGGCTACCTCCTACTGGCTGCACTGTTGAAGGCCTATGTACAGAAGAAGACCAGTGAGCTGGAGCAGGAGGTGCAGGAGCAGAAGACGAAGGACTCCAGGTAAGGCTCCCCACTCACCTTGACATAGGGAGGAGAAACATCCCAGATAGGCAGGAAAAATAACACCCAGCCAGGAGTCCAGGAGGCTGTCGTTCACCAGGCCCTGGGGGCCCAGCCATTCTCATGCGCCATGGAATACAGAGGCTCAGGGCAGCTGGAGGGATTGTGCTTAGACGCAGTGAAAAGATCCATTCCTGAAAGGCCCTAGGAAATGGAATGAAGAGGTGAGGAATCACTTTCTCTGGGGACTGGTCTTGCCCTACTGCGGACACTTTCCAGCACTGGATGAATTCAGGCTGGTAAGTTTGAAGTCAACAGGTGGACCCAGTAGATCTCAGACGTTTTAGAAATTTAGCTTATGTGTGTGTTGTTCTCTCACACCTGCCTTTATGATGTCTTTGCAAAGGCCTTGCAGAGGATGGGCTCAGGTAGAGCAGTGTTTGAGGTCGTTCTGGGGCCTTCACGTGTGTAGGATCTGTAGTGCATGTTGGCATGGAGCTGGGGAGAGCACCCTTCCCCAGCCCCACCTCCNGTGCATGTTGGCATGGAGCTGGGGGGAGCACCCTTCCCCAGCCCCACCTCCCTGTGCACCCTGAGCTTGAAGCACTGCCTGGGCAGAGGAACGGGTTGTACCTGTAGTACTCTCTGCAGAGCATGAAGGCCTGAGCAGGAAAGATCACCCCTTCCCCAACGAAGCCCTTCCCCACACTGTGCTGACTCAGCAAATGTCTGAGTTCTCCTAATGGAACATGTGTGAGCTGCCCTCCTGCCTGCCCCTCCTGCCCCTGCTCGAAGTACCCCCTCCTTGGTCTAATCTTCTGCTTGACTGTCCCTGGGGCCAACCTCATGCATGGTGTTGTCTGGCAGGTCTTTTCCCTGTAGCCTGGGCAGCTCCAGAGCTAAGCCGTGCAGTAACCTGAGTGCTTGTGTCCTGGGCACACACTTGAAGTACCTGAATAACTTCCATATGTTCTCTGGCATTGGCTTTGGGGCTGAGACACCTGGCAAGATAAGGGATATGGCCAGTGGCTTGGAGAAGGACATCTACTCTAACTTTGGGGTGCCCCAGGATTCCAAGTGAAATTTTTCCACTCCCTCCAGATTTTCGTTCTTGCTCCTGTTGGTGAACTTAATGCATGCAGATTTCCCTCTGATTGTTCTTCAAGCTGGTATTGGTAGCTTTGCTTATGACAGAATATTGGGGACCTCAGGATGGAAGAAAAGAGAGCAGAGCACCCAGAGAAGGTTAGAGAGAAGAGAGAGAGAGGGAAGCCTCTTGAGATCCCAGGGGATATCATGGCAGAACCCTCCAGTTCCTGCTTTATCCCTCATCCATCAACCTTGATGAATAAACCTGTTTTCTGAAAGGATCTACACTGTGGTGGCCATTATTCTGGTCCATGTTCAAGGCTTAAGAGTGCCCAAGGCCTGCATTTAAATGTAATTTTAGCCTCAGGGTAGCTGGAGACAGGGCTTGGTGAGTGCTCCCTGGTGACCGGGTCCAGCATCAAGAACAGGTGCAGGTAAGCACTTCTGGGAGAGGACCCTGCAAGCCCTGTTCTCTGAGCCTCTCCCAGGTAAGACTTCAGGGAATTTTCATTTTCTCATGGAAAGTGGTTTTGTTGGTGCTCATGGCTGGGGTATGGCTTTTGTATGCTTCTTGTGTGTCCTGGGGTGGGCCTGGGCCTTTGCTGAACACTCCTTCCTGGTCCCAAAGGGATTATACGTACAGGACGATAAGTGTAGGTTTTCAGCCTGTGTCCATGGTTAGGAACTGAGTTTCTTCATGAAGGGCTCCTAGCAAGGGCTGCCAGGCCATTTCCTCTAACAGCTTTGGTAATTGAATTTAGGAGAAACACTTAAGTGGTATGTTGAAGAGCTACCATTCTCTTCGAGAAGGTCCCATGGGGTAGGCTCCTGACTCCAGCCTCTCACTAACAGGCTTTCTCTTCTTCCTCCATTCTGCAAAGCAGTGTCACTTCCCAGAAGAGATCCTGTAACACTTCCACATGTGCGATCGAAAGGCTGGCAGATGTGCTGAGCAAATTCGGGGGAATGGCGAAGAACGACTTCGTGCCCACCGATGTGGGCCCCGGTAGCTATGGCCGTCGCCGTAGAGACCTTCAGGCCTGAGCTCCTAACCCACTCCAGGAAGAAGGTGACCGCCTTTTACTGTTGGACGGGAGGGGAAGGGGTCTGGAGGTTAACATCCACCTCTTGAAACCCACCGACCTGGTAGGTTCTTCAGATGCTTCTCTCCAATTACTTTCTTCCTCCTGAGGTAGTGAGTTCTTTCTCCAGCTAAGCTTGAAATCAGAGCACTAGGGCAGGCTGCAGAGATGCGATTTTGCCTTTCTGAGAAATGAACAAAAAAAATACTTGCTGAACTCAGAAAGGGGGGCCCCGCAAACCTTTGCCAGGCCAGTCCTCACGGATGAGCCCAGGCTCGGAAAGCCCTCAACCCTTGACCAGTGTTCCCAGGTCCAGTCCAAAGGGCCGTAATCAGAATACTGCTGCTGGCGCTCACAGTGACAGTTAAATAGTTATTATTACTATCTTTTGTTTGAAAAGCCTGCTTGCATCTCGTATCCATGATTTATAATCGCTGTTTGGTTAAAGAAGCCCTTCTGTAAGTGCATGTTCCTTTCGGCAGTGATGGCGTTTATTCCCCTTGTCCCTCGGTTCTAGCTCTCATTTTATGTCTCCTTCTTTCTCCCCTGCTTTTAATTTTTTCTGTCTCAGGTCCCCATGAAACTGAACTCACCGCTTCTGTTCATTTCTGTTGACAACAGCTTGGTGAGAAGGCCCCATGGAAGATACACATGTTTGCATCCTAATAGATACCAAGAAAAAGCACCCTTGTCAATCAAAAGGAATGAAATCGAATGAAAAATAAGCTAATTCCATATCTGTTGTGCACCTTTTTATATTTGATTCTATGCGCGGTAAACGTGATGGCGTCTCCCAACAGCTTATCTGGTAGCAGACTGGTTCTTTGAGAGATATCCTGTTGATCACCGTGGCTTTGCCAGGCCACAGGGGGACATGAGCTCACTGCCTCTCGTGGCCTCTGGGGTGACGCTACGCTTTGTTGTCTAAGAGCCTGATTGTATAATTTGATTAAGGAAATGTCAGTATTGTGCCATTTGTGAACTTCATCAAGATTAAAAACATATTTTGGATACATGTGTTTCAAGACCTGTGGTTTATTTCAACTTGTTTTCCTATGTAATAATAATAATAATAATAATAATAATGATAATGATAATAATAATAATAGTTGAGCCCTCGCCTGTGGTTAAAGTGTCAGCCCCCGAACTGAAAGGTCCTGGGTTCGATTCTGGTTAAGGGCATGTACCTCGGTTGCAGGCTTGATCCCTGGTCCAAGTAGGCCCTGGTTGGTGCTCGTGAGGGACGCAACCAATCAATGTGTCTCTCTCACAACAATGTTTTTTTTTTTCTCTCTCTCCCACTCTCTCTGAAAAGTGATGGAAAAAATATCCTTGGGTGAGAATGAAACAATAATAATAATTATAGTTGATATTTGTTTAGTGCTTACGCTAGACCAGACAATGTTCTGAGACAGTGCTTTATACCCATGAATTCACTTACTCTTCATGACAGCTTTATGGGGTAGGTACTGTTATTATTTCCACTTCTCATCTGAGAAAACAGGCACCGAGGAGTCAAGTCCAAGGTCACACAGACTCAGGTGTTGATTTCCAGAGCTTACCGTTGAAACCACTGCACTGTATGCCTCCCAGCAATAGCTCTTGGTGTTTTCTGGAGACCTGTGAGCAGTTCTTTAACCTAGCTGCTTCACATGGTAGACCATCAGACTTTGAAGACAGATGGGAAAATTTACACATATACACACCCTAATCTTTATCTAATAAAATGGATCCCTTCTACCCATTCCTTTGTGCTACAGGGTGAATGTTTGTGTCCCTTGGAACCTCTCACTGAAACTTATATGTTGAAACCTAATAGCCAAGTGATGATATTTGGAGGTGGACCTTCCAGAGGCAAGTATGTCATAAGGGCAGTCCCCTCACCAATGCGATTAGTGCCCTTAAAAATGAGGCCAGAGAGAATCCCCTCACTCCTTCCACTGCTATGTTATGTTACAGTGAAAAGACTGCTGTGAATGAGGAGGTGGGCCCCCCACCAGACACTGAACCCGCTGGTGCCTTGATCTTGGACTTCCCAGCCTCCAGAACTGTGAGAAATAAATATTTGTTGTTTATAAGCCATCCAGTCTGTTGTGGCATTTTGTTATAGCAGCCCAAATGGACTAAGACACTCACTTGGCTTCAATGATCAATTTATGGTCAATATTATTAAGTCTATGTGCCATCTATTTCCCCCTCCCATGAATTATTACATCAGCATATCTATAACTATTTCCCCATGTATCTCTAAAAGGGAAGTACCCTTTACCACAATACCATTTAATAATGAAAATAAATTAACAATAATTTCTTACTGTTCTTTAATATCTCACATCTAGTGATAGTTCAGATTTCTCAATTATAAAAATGTGTATGTATTACACACACATATATAAAATACATTTATGTATACATATATGTATAAAATCAGAGCTCAAATTAGGTCTTCACATCACTGCTGGTTCATATGTTTTAAGACTCTTCTCATGTAGAGGTTCCCCCTCCATCTTTTCCCCCCCTCCTGCAATTTATTTGTTGGAGAAACTAAGTTATTTGTCCAATAGTGTTTCTCACATTCTTTTTTTTTTTTAATTAAATATATCTTTACTGATTTCAGAGAGAGGAAAGGAGAGGGAGAGAGAGATAGAAACATCAATGATGAGAGAGTCATTGATCGAGCCCGCAACCCGGGCATGTGCCCTGACTGGGAATCGAACCCTGGATCCCAGGTCAATGCTCAACAGCTGAACCACGCCCGGCCGGACTCTCACATTCTTAATTTTGATGACTACACCCATGGGTAAGGTTTGTAACATGTTCCTTTACCTTATGTTTTTCTTGTGAGTCAGATCTCTAGTAAGTGAGGGGAAAGAGAAGTGGGAGATGAACTCAGAGAAGTAATGGGGGTAGGGGGACTGAACATGGGGGACTGTGCAGGGCATAGGAAAGACTGGCTTTCTATCTTATTGATATTCTATATTCGGTGGGACAGCATTCTCATACTTTCCTTCAGTTCTTTAGATAGTATTTCAATATATATAAAATAGTTGATTTAGAACTTTCGGTCTAATAAGTTCAATGTCTGTGCTCCCTAAGGAACAGTTTTTGTTAACTGCTTTTCTTGTGCATATAAACTATTCTTTCTTGTTTCTTTGCATGTCCCATACTTTTTTTTGGAAAACTGGGCATTTTAAATAGTATAATGTGGAAACTTTGGAAATCATATTCCTTCCCCGCCACCCACGCTGGGGTTTATAATTGTTGGTTTTTGTTGTAGTTGTTGTTACTTGTTTGCTTAGTGACTTGTCTGAACTACATTTTTAAAGTCTTTATTCTTTGTCATGTGGCCACTGAAGTCTCTGCTTGGTTAGCTTAATGGTCAGTTAATGATGGAACAAATATTTCCTTACTGTCTAGAATCAATAAGTCTTTTAATCTTTACCAAGGAGCTCTACATGCATGTTGGGACATACCTTCAGCACTCAGCCAAGTCGCTGACAACTTTGTCATAGTTCTGACTTTCTGCTTGCAGACAGCCTCAAGGTCAGTGAGGTGATTGTTCAGGGCTTTCTCATGTTTTCCTGAGCATGCATGCAGCTCCATGCATGCACTTGGCCTTCTAGATTCCCAGAAATATGTTAGAGCTTTTCAAAGTTCTTATAGACATCACATTCCCCAGATTTTCCTTTATTTTTATTTTTTAAAAAATATATTTTTATTGATTTCAAAGAGAGGAAGGGAGAGGGAAAGATAGAAACATCAATGATGAGAGAGTCGTTGATCTGCTGCCTTCTGCATGCCCCCTGCTGGGGATCGAGCCCACAACTCGGGCATGTGCCCTGATGAGGAATCGAACCTTGATCTCCTGGATCATAGGTTGATGCTCAACTGCTGAGCCATGCCGGCTGGGCCCCAGATTTTCCTTTAAATGTTTTTGGTTAGTCTTTTATTTACTCCAAGTATTACCTACTAGTTCAGGCATTTGTAAATTTAAATAAGTGCCTATAGTTGTTTTTCACAAATGCTCCCAAAGAAAAGGCTTTGCACTGGGCAAGCTCCATGTCAGATCAAAGACAGCATTGCAAATGAAGTCTTCCAAGGAATGACCAGAGAGATCAAATAATGATGATACTATGGGAACAAGGTTTCGAAGGAGGGCCACTCTCATTTGCTAGACTAATTTTTTTTTTTTTTTTTCCATGAAGCTGGGCTGTTAGTATTTAAAGCTACCACAGAGTAAGAGAGCAGGACACAGGACTAAGACAAGTTAAAATACCATGGGCCCTAGTACCTCAGTTGGTTAGAGAGAGCATCATCCCAATACATCAAGGTTGCAGGTTTGATCCCAGGGCAGGGCACATATAAGAATCAATCAATGAATGCATAAATAAGTGGAAAAACAAGTTGATATTTCTCTTTCTCTCTCTTTCTCTTTCTCTAAAATAAATAAATAAAACACCACAAAGCTCACCGTTATTTCTGGAATTCAGCTGTTTCTGTTGAATAATTGCTTCTTGCATTGCTGTAAACCTTTGGTTAGTTGCTAGAGTTTTTAAAAAGTAAATTTTGACAATATTTGTTATTCTTTTCATTGCTTTTATGGAGGAGGAAATTTTTGGAGACCCTTACTCCGCTGTTTTCACTGACAAAACTCTTTTTGCCTCCATTCATGAAGGATATTTTCACTGGATATAAGACTATGGATTGACAGTTTTTTCTTTTAGCATTTTAAAGATGTTTCATTATCTTCTCATCTCTATGGTTTCTTAGTAGAAATTTGCATTAATTTGAACCTTTGTTCCTCTATATGTAGTGCATTGTTTTCCTTTGGTGGCTTTCAAATTTTTTTCTTTAAGCTTTTTTTTATACTGTTCAATTAACATGTGTCTAGGTATGATTTTCTTTAATTGTTTTTCTGGTTCAGATTCTCTGAGATTGAATCTGTAAATATATGTTTTCTGTTAACTTTGGGAAGTTTTTAGCCATTAACTTTTGTGTGCCAATATTTTCCTTTCCTTTTGGGTCTCCAGTGACAAAGTTAGGTCTTTTAATATTGTTCCACAATTTTATTCTGTTCAATTTGAAAGTTTTGTTTCTCTGTGTTTTTTAGGTTATATAATTTTTATTGATTTATCTTTAAGTTTAATGATTCTTTTCTTTTATTGATCCCATTCAGTGAAATTTGTTATTTTGGATATTATATTTTCTAATTTTAATGTCCGTTTTGTTCTTTTTTATTTCTCTGTTAACAAATGCTATCTCTTCATTGATTTAAAGAATATTCACTATTACCTCATAGAATACACTGTTCATGGGTTTGAGTTTGTGGAATTTAACTTAATCTTGGACGAAGCATCAAAAAACAAGAGAGTGAGAAAAAATTTTTCTCATACCCTGTGGCACCCAAAGAGTCCCTTTTACAGCACTTTTGTCAGAGACACAGGTTTTAGTTGCCCACCTCGCTGCCATCACTGACCCTGGGCTGGCATTGGAACAGAGCCAGTAGAAAAAGAAAGAATAGCCAATGGCAGTTCTGGGTTGGAGGGGCTCCTCTTTTCTTTCCTCTGGCCAGAAAGCGGGATTCTCTCAAGGTTTTTGTTACTTGTGCCCAATGCAGTTCCATGATTGAGCCCACCCTTGGGTTAAATTTAGAAGATAAAAGAGGAAAAAGCCCCAGGAGACTTACTGGCATTTTTATCCATTCTCCCTTCTCCCTGGAGCACCTGATATTGCTTACTTCTAAGAGTCCTCAAGCAGATCCTTTTTGTATTCTCTCCAGAGGTTTTTTGTTGTTGCTGTTAATCCCCACCTGAGGATATTTTTTTCCATTGATTCTTTTAGAGAGAGTGGAAGGGAGGGGGAGAGACACAGAGAGAGAAACATCTATGTGAGAGAGACACATCGATTGTCGGGATGGAGCCTGCAACCAAGGTACATGCCCTTGACCGGAATTGAACCTGGGACCCTTCAGTCCTCAGGCCAGTGTTCTAACCATTGAGACAAACCAGCTAGG